TGAGAATAATTTTCAATGCTGAATTCAGTTTACAATATTGGGCTTTACACTTGTAATTATTTTCATTTCTCCTGTATATCTTATAGAGTTTCAGGAAGTACGGGTACCTTTCGAAGACAAGGAATATATGGTTCGCTCCAACGAACTTAAATGGGATGATGCTAAGGTATGACAAGCATTCATATGAAAAATCTAGAACTCTGAAAATTGTAATCACAATGTCATTGGTCTTCTTTTAAAAAATATTTCAATGTTGCAATCAATCCTTAAGTAAACAATTACTTTAAAAACAACAAACCTCAAGCGTAAATAAGGGCAGTATTGCGATTTAATCAACGTGAGCAAAATGCACAAATACTGTAAACGTGAAAAAATGGTGCATACGTATTTTAGAGCAAGCGCAACTAGGAATGCATTGGCAAAAACAAATTTAAACGCTAGCACACGTCATTAAAATATAAAATTGTGATATTATTTTTTTTTAATCCACACTCGTTTTTTGATTTTTGGACTAGTCAAGCATGGAGACAAAGTAACAGTCCTGTATAATAGTAAACATTCATCAACTTTACCGTGGTGATGCAATCACATGGACGTGGCACAAGGTTAAAATGTATTCTAATTTTATCTTAAATAAAGAAATGAAGTATGTACGCATTTTATTTATATTAAAACAATGCATGCATCGACAGAAAAGAATTTTAAGGTTCCTTTAAATACTTTATGTATATTGATAATGTATTTCTTTCTCAAATGCTGGAGTTATCGCTCTTGCGATACACTCCAGCTTAATTTCAATAGCATCTTCTTATATGGTAAGCTATGTGAGTGCTGATAGATAGAACCAATAGAATCGTTTCGCGGGAAACTGAAGGTGCGTCTCTTTAGAGATAGCGTGGGTCGCCACTTTTTTTCAGGACGCCGGACAATTAACTCACTAGCATTTTTTCTACGAATTTTATTCGATTTTAAGCGGTAAGATCAATTTTACTTTGTATGTATTCATGAATTCTGACAAAATACTTATTTTGGGTCACTCTATCGTTCGTCGCTTCCATCAATTCCTTAAAAGTGAAGCTGACGATAGATATAATGACGACCTCGGCCTCCAAGCGACACACAAAATATTTTTAGAGGTGTTGGAGGCCGCACAATATCAGGCATTCTCTGCGAGGATACGATTTCATTGAACGGGTGAAACGGGATAACATAATCCTTCTGGTTGGAGGTAATGATGTCCGAGGTGTCAGTTCCCCCGAAGAAATAGCGGGGAATTTAGAATCCACCGTCTCGGTACTCCATGGTAGATTTGGACTTTCCCAAATTCACGTGTGCAAATTATTGCCACGTTTTAATCAAGCGTTTAATTACAACGGTATCGTAGACGAAGTGAATGCTCTGCTGAAGTCCTCTCTTCAGGAGTTCAAATTCGCTTCTTTCTGGGATCACAATGACCTTTTCCCATATTTGCAACCTTTCGTTTTTCGCTAAACGTCCCCATTAGGGAGTTGAAGGGTTGGCCCCTAAATGTTTCTTTTGCAAATAACTCAAAAACGAAAAAGAATCTCTGAATAGTTGTTGAACAACAAATGTTCAAAATCCTAAGAGCTGTCAGATGAAATCAAGAAAAAGGGGCTGGACACTCAAATTAGGGGCCAAGAGGGGCCAAAAATCTTCAATCGATAACTCTTTAACAGTTAATAATTTGTAATACATTACTGAAGCAAAGATGTTTATTTCAACCATTTACAACTATATAGTATGACTTTAATGCCGTTTGGTATATAATTAGGGGCCAAAAGGGGCCAAAATGCTAAATCTTTGACGCCTTGTATCTCAAAAGAATTAAATATTTTGATAAGTAATATTGAACAAAAAATGTTTAAAATCATGTTCTAAACAATATGCAACCTTTCATTTTTCGCTAAACGTCCCCATTAAGGAGTTGAAGGGTTGGCCCCTAATTGTTTCTTTTGCAAATAACTCGAAAACGAAAAAGAATCTCTGAATAGTTGTTGAACAAAAAGTGTTCAAAATCCTAAGAGCTTTCAGATGAAATCAAGAAAAAGGGGCTGGACTATTATTTAACTTCTAATTTGTTTGAAGTATACAATGTATTTTTATCTACCCACTTATTTGATGTGTACATGTATAATACTGAGAGAATAGAGTAATGTCATAAGTGTACGTTATCAGTATGTAAAACGAAGCAAGTCTGCTGACATTATAATGCATTGCTGTTCGTTTTGTAAAATATTATCTGGTGTGTCATGTGGTAAAAGGAAAATAAACAACATAATAAAATATAATAGATGGCGTTGTAAGAATCATTAAATTGTATAAAGGTTTAACAAATAAATGTTGAGTAGATTCAAATCTTTTCTTAGGAACTTTTTTGATAGTTAATTTGTGAGAGATTTTCGTGTTTATAATTACATTTCGGGATTTAGTTAAAAACATTAAAGCATGTTAGATGGTTTTCTTGGCGAGTATAAAATTGGGCATTGTGCCAAAAATTTTGGCGCAATTTATTTTATGGAACATGGGGTTTCAACTCTTTCCAGATAAACACTGAGAAGAGTGCTGAATGTTTAAGTTATTAATATTTCACTGGCTACTATCAAAACGCTAAAAGTGGCAAAAACTAGCATCCCACTTAAATAACCCGTTATGAGGTATCATCAATGCAGACATCTTTGTGCAGCATATTATACTGCCATTATAATTTTAATAGTTATTTACTGGAACATAAAGGTTATGTTTATAAAAAAAATGAACAGAAAAACCACGATGAAATGCAATCCATTCTTGATTTATGTTATGATTCTAAGTATTGGATAATTTGTTGGGATAATGCTTAAAATACAATGCTACGACATGATATAGCAAAGCTATAACTACGTGTATACGTACGTGGCCATCTGTTTGATAAAATTATAGAAAACAAGCGAGGAGTTTGGTTAAATTTTGCGAGAAGATTGAACTTCAAGATCAAGAGGTCAAACACGTACAAATACACAATATGCAAATATTTTAAATACTGAACCATAGCTTGTACTAATCAAAATTTATTGGCAAGATTAATTCTGTTTCCCGGGTACATGTACCAGACAAACTGACAGAGCAAAATTTTGTTCTCTTATTATATTTTATATTAAAGGGACATTTATTAACACATTGTAACTATTAACAGTTTATAAAGTATCATCCTAACCAGAAGTCTCTGTCGAGACTGAAGCTCTACTGGTTTGAACTTTTATTATATACCCATCAATTTTCTTGTTTTTGTTACTGTTAATTTTACCGAGTTTGATCCGATTTTCCGGATCACCACACTGTGGTTTTCTGAATCCATATCACCACTCTCTAAAACTGATGACGTAGTACGCAAAAACATGACGTTATTTTTCTTGCGCGTTAAAAAGTCCCTTGTTATTATGCTTTGATTTATGGATAAATATTATACAATTGATCTCTAAAGTTTTATTCTGCTTTATTTAGCTAGTTATAAGGGGGTATATAATAAATTTATCATTATAACAGTAACTTGATCCGAAGAGCCGTATCACGTCTCGTTGACAAGCGCAGATCATCAGATCAAACTCGACGCTTTGCGTCTCGTTAGATCTGATGATCCGCGCCTGTCAACTCGACGTGATATGACCCTTCGGATCAAGTAACTGTTATAATATTATATATATAGCAAAGGAAGAGAAAAATACTTAAGCAGCTGGGATTTGAAACTAAATAGAATAATGATCGTTGATAAAGTCTCTTTATGTTCTTAGTGTAGTCTACTTGTGTGCCAAGTTATACTGAAATCAGACCAAAACTGTAGGAGGAGTAGCATTTTGAAACAATTTTACAGACATTTCTATTTTTAGTAACCACGGCAACACCGTTCATCAAAATTAAAATTTGATATACAGAATTATGTATCTTAGTGTATTCTACTTATGTGCCAAGTTATATTGAAATCAGACCAAAACTGTAGGAGGAGTAGCATTTTGAAACAATTTTACAGACATTTCTATTTTTAGTAACCACGGCAATACAGAATTATGTATCTTAGTGTATTCTACTTGTGTGCCAAGTTATAATGAAATCAAACCAAAACTGTAGGAGGAGTAGCATTTTGAAAGAATTTCACAGAAATTTCTATTTTTAGTAACCACGGCAACACCGTTCAGCAAAATCAAAAACCGATATACAGAATTTTGTACTTAGTGTATTCTACTTGTTTGCCAAGTAATACTGAAATCAGACCAAAACTGCAGGAGGAGTAGCATTTTGAAAGAATTTCACAGAAATTTCTATTTTTAGTAACCACGGCAACACCGTTCATCGAAATCAAAAACTGATATACAGAATTATGTATCTTAGTGTAGTCTACTAGTGTGCCAAGTTATAATGAAATCAAACCAAAACTGTAGGAGGAGTAGCATTTTGAAAGAATTTCACAGAAATTTCTATTTTTAGTAACCACGGCAACACCGTTCATCAAAATCAAAAACCGATATACAGAATTATGTATCTTAGTGTAGTCTACTTGTGTGCCAAGTTATACTGAAATCAGACCAAAACTGTAGGAGGAGTAGCGTTTTGAAAGAATTTCACAGAAATTTCTATTTTTAGTAACCACGGCAACACCGTTCATCGAAATCAAAAACCGATACACAGAATTATGTATCTTAGTGTAGTCTACTTGTGTGCCAAGTTATATTGAAATTAGACCAAAACTGTAGGAGGAGTAGCATTTTGAAAAATTGTTTACAGACAGACGGACAGACAGACAGACGGACAGATGGACGGACGCCGGACGCATTACTATCGCATAAGCTCTTCTGGTCTCTGACCAGTAGAGCTAAAAACCGGTCTTCACGTCCCGCAGTAGATTCTATCTCGATCACACCTTACTCTATCCACTGCACCACGCGGGCGACGTGTATTTTTGATGAAGGACAAGTAATCAGTCATTGCCTTGATTCTAGACACTACAATGAAGTTTTCATACAATTTATTGCATATTTATAAGCATACACTATCTTCACAATTCGATATAGTATAGACAGCTTTAATCTTTGAATTGTTAATAAATTGCAATGGCGATGGGTATATAAACATGTTCAGAATAATTTGTGAAAATGTAGACAAACATGAAATGATGAAAAAGACCACAATAAAATGAAATTAAAACAAAACACTCCGTTATAGAGAAAAATGACAATACACATAGAGTTATAGAGAATAATGTTGCGTGCACGCGAAAAAGAAAAAAAAATCCATGAAGTTTGCCAAAGAGCATTCACGTATTTTAATGATTGTTAAAAAAACATATATATTCAAAGAAATATTTAATTATTTATAGCCACGTTTCTTGCTATATCCGACTGGATCAAACACCCATTAAAGTTTACGATCATCACCGGTTATCTTGATACAGTTAAAGCAAAAAATGGTTTGTACATGTAAGACAACCACAACATATTTTGAAATCAAACAAAAAGAATGAAAAAGACTTATTTAAACATTGAAAAACATACGATGTAAACCCATAGCATCAAGAATTCGGATGCATTTCATTAGCGCTCAGAAAAAAATCGTGACATCTGGAATAATTTTTTAGCCATGGAATCAAAACTCGTGATCGAAAGACTACAGAGAGAATGTGTATGCATTAAACAACAAACACCAACTATAAACAAATATAAATATATGCTTACATAAAGAACTTGAATATAAATGTACGTATAAATTCAATTGATATGTATTTAATCCGTACATGAAAGATATTCACTTTATCTTTTATAACTAAAATAATAAGTAAAAATGCTAACTCCCTTTTGGCGTTTTATTTACTTATGGGTTCAATATTGGCTTATCGTGTATATTTGTTGAAATTCAAAACCGGGGAGGGGAGGAGGGGGGGGGGGGGTAGAATTCTACTCAGTCTTGAAAGCAACCCGCGAAAACAATTTCATTCTCTGATAAAAAAAATTAACATTGTAACTAATTAAAAAATCCCTCAATGTCCCCCTTTAACTCACTATAAAATCTTTCCCAATCCTTCTCTACTAATGTGACCAAATATTTAAACCAGTACAACACTTTCTCCATCCATGTCAATCTACTGAAATAATTTTTGAAATATAATGATTCAAAATCACGCTTTTCGGCGATTCGATCGACCATAAACCCAGAGGTTCTACACACCGAAGAAGCAATTTCATTATTAAAGAAATTCAGTGCGTTTAAAAGTGCGTGCACGATTGGAATTTCTTCTGCCACCTTTTTAAACAACGACAAGATCAGTTGCTTTAAAAGTTCCACGGAGAGCCTTTCAAAAATGTTGACGTAAACATGATCGATAACTTTTGCTGCAAGAGATCCAATTCTAATAATGGCACCAGTTACTCCGAGAGAAGGGAAGAGAACACGCTCGATGAAGTACTCCTCTCCCAGATGAAGGGCGTGTATGACTGTGCTGTTGCATTGCCAACTAAATGCATTAGTTTCTTTGATTGAAGCACCTGATAAAAAAAAAGATAAGAAATAGGTTATGTATTGATGCAAACTATATCAGCTCTGTTCAATTCATGGAATAAACATACCTGAAGCAAAACAATATAAAATATTGTATAAGATTCAATTACAGTAATACGGTTACTGCAAGGTGAAATAACAATGCAATATATATATAAAAACGACCTCAAGAACAAGGTAAATATTATGAATCTTGTGTTTTATATAAATAAATACCTTCCGAAATGCAGCAAGCTGATAACATGCCAACCAGCAAAAGAGCAAATCCATTAAATGTCTTCATTTTAGTGTTTTCAGCTAAATGAAACGACAAAACTAGAAAAATTCATTCGAAATAACCAAATGCGGTGGTAAATTCAGATAGGAGAAAAACGTGATACTTATATATAATTTAATTTCAGATGTAACGCGTCATTTGATTGGTTAAACGGTTTTATCCATTTCGTATAACATAACTTGCCTACGTCACAATGAGTTACGTCAAAAACGTATCACTCCGCTTGACGTTACTTTTAAAATAATGCTCAATTTGAATCCTTTTTCCGGAGGAAACATTGTCTCATTGTCTACATTGAAATTAAATTATAAGAAATGAAGCTTATTTCAACTTATGTTATCCGACATAACAAAACTTGGGGCAGTTTACGCTTATTTATAAACCGCGAAGCGTAAACTGCCCCAAGTTATGTTATATCGGATAACATAAGTTGAAATAAGCTTCATTCCTTAAATAATTTTTTTTCTATTCTTTTCTCATTGTATTAAATAATAAATTATTCAACTAAAATAATATTTAGGTAATTAAAGTGTAATTTATATAAAGGGGCGCTTCTTACCTTAGTATGGTAGAAGAATCAACGGTGTTTGAGGTGTTACACGGAATAAAAACTTTTCGCCATCTTTGAATCTCATGATTATGACTTTCATCTATTTTTAGATTGTCTGTGCAGAGGAAAATCCATCCAGCAGAAAGCTATTTATAGCCAATCTAACTCTTACGAGAGTAAATATTATGTAATCGACAAGAAGATTCGCAAGCTTGTATAGTTAATAGAGAAAACAAGTTACTGTCCTTTAAAAAAAGGACTACAATACGTGGACCAAATGCATGTTTTCTTTTAACAGAAATTCAATCAAAGAAAATTTGTTAAATTTGTTGGATATTAATGTAGGTTAGTTCGCTTTTTCTACAGTGATCTCTCTACTTTGACCGATAGTACTTTCATAACAAAATTGTTAAATTTAATATCCTATTGGCATATAGTTTTGTTATTTTCAAATCCAGGCTATTTTGATACATATATAACCCATACTGGCTGGTAATTAACATATACCTGAACTGAATTGAACTGAATTGAATTTTTTTTTCAGTTTCAAAATTCAGTTCAGGTCTGTAGTACACAGATTTTTTTTTTCTGGAGCCCCCCCCCCCCTCTCCCCCACATGGAGTACCGTTGCTAAAGGCTTGTGTCAAGGTGTATTTGAATCCATATACATGTATATCAAATTTTTTTGCGAGCCTTAATAATGCCGGTGAAGACTTGTTTTATCTTTTAAAATCCTACAACTAGTATATGTATGAAGTTTTTAATTCAAGTTGTAAAGTTATCTATAGATAACTTAACAACTTGAATTAAAAACTTAAGGTATCCATTGTACAAATGGGTAAAAATTTATGCCCGGAAACCCTATGATTTCATGTTCTAAAATCGAAGTATGGGTCATGACAAGTTAAAAAATTGGGTCATCACAGGCAACAACTCATTTAAGGAAGATAACTCTAAATTGATGAAAACTAAAATCTAAGGAAAATCACATAAATTGGTATCTAGTAAGTTTATTCCATAATAATGACAAAAAATTACTTTTATATTGTTATCTTTATATAAAATTAAAGAATATCAAATAACAAAACATATTGGTAAGAGTGTTATTAAAAAAATTAAGAAAAGGGTCTTTTTGTAAAACTAAACGTTCAAGTTCATAATGTCATTTGCAACATGCCTTTACCATGTATCATTAACAATTTCAAAGAGAAATATTTATAATTACACATAATTACACATTACACAAGATACATTAGAAAAGTCAAAACACTTTTCCCTTCAATTATTTGAACACTTTTTCTTTTTTTTTTTTACTTTTTTGCAAGTCAAAAATTATGAAAGAATCTCATAACTCAATGTACAAAATTGATTTACATAAATGAAAATGGTTTGAAGTTCTGCAAATGTGAATTCATAGTTATGTCTAGAATTTAAAAATGTACACATTACAAAAGAATAAAAAAAAATTTAAACAGAAATACTGAAGTTAAAAATTGATAGCGACACATTCGATACAGAATGACTTAGAAAATAAATTTCAAGATTTTAATGACACAATAAATAGTACTTGTGATATAAATGTAGATACTATAAGGACTCCGACAGTAATCTCACTTAGTAGACCAGGCGCGTAGCTGCCTATACGCAAGTACGCAAGTGCGTACACATCATTTTCAAAAAAAAAGAAAAGAAAGAAAAGAAAGAAAGAAAAAAGAATAAAAAAGAGAGATTTATTCGGAGAAAAAGAGGCACTATCTGTCTTTCAAATTATTTTACGTCTTATTGTTTCTATTCAAATTTTGTTCAGAATATCTGTTAAAATCCAGTCTTTTATAAAATGATTTCCAAAATTCTTGAGGAAGAAAATATTGTTGAACCAAAATTTTCAACTGTTAATCCGCGTAATCCTGATTATGCGGACAAATGCATGTATTTGATGAAGGAAAGCGATCTTAGTGACATTGATCTAAAGAAAAAGTTACAAGGGTCTTGGACGACTATACAAAAATTTCCGTTAAAGTAATGAATAAATATCGATAAGCCCACACCCATAAAAGTTTTTGTTCGTTGGACCCGCGCGCTCGTATTTAAACAAAAGTATACAAATAATATCAATTTAAAATTCCCGCACCATGCGTGGGAATTCTGTGCTGATTTCTGTTCCATTTCCGCTCTATTTATCGTACTTTTAATCTACTAATTCTGCAAATCCGAAAAAAAATTCTCCGCTCAAATTTTTTCACGCCCCGCCTAAAAATTTTGCCTACAATGAAGTAATAATATTATTATTTAACCGCTAGCCCGCTCGTACTTTTTTCATCAAATGTCCGACGAACAAGAAATTAAATTGGTGTGGCCTAAACAAAAAAAAAATGACAAAATTCAAATTACTGAACAAAGTAAATAAAAATATAGATCATGTATGAATATATTCTTTTACTGATGTTACCAATTTATAGAATTATATAATTTAAGTACTCTCACACTGTTTAAGCTATCAGAACATAAAAGTTATCAAAAGACCCACATCCCGTTTATATTTTTGAAATACTTAAATTCCAGTGATAATTTAATAATAAATTACTTCTCTGTTTTATCTTATAACACTTGGAAACTTTTTTTTAAATACCAATATATTCGTAAGTTAATTTGATCAAATTATCTTTCTCTTCCTGAAGTATCCACGGAAGTATAACTTTGCGAAGTAGTTACTTGAGAAAAGAGATGTAGCGTGATTTCTTTTAAAGGAAAATGGCTGAAAAATTTCGCCCTGGATCCACTGGGGGCCTTAGAGCGGCCCCCAGACCCCAGACCATTTTCTGCGTACACTTCATTTTAATGCTGGCTACGCGCCTGGTAGAGGATGCATAATACAGACCAACTTGTTTAGATACAATTGATAAATTTATGTGGCAGCAAAAAATTCACACAACTTTGGGACAATATACTGTAGAACTTTAGATGTTCCAGTCACTCTAGGTTTGTCATCACTGGTTTTGGGAGAAAACATAAATTAATCTATTTTCACCATTTCTGACATAGCTATAGATCAGCTTAGATGAGAAAGTGCCATCGTCTCTGCCAGACTCCTCTTCATGAAACTTTACCAATCAGCACACACAAATACCCGTAGTTCTTTGATTTTTCAGCATTGAACACCTGTTGAAAATCAGAAATATTTTTGTACTACAAATGATTGTTTCATACAGATTAATAATGTACATGTGATTCATTAAAAGTTTGCAGCAGAGATTATTCCGTCCAACATGACGGGGTATTCTATTACATGTAGTCAAATATTTTTCTTACACTGATTCTCGAGCAAATTGACGAATAAACATTTGATTTTAGAGCCACCAAATTTAAAGTATATGTATCTACTAAATGATATAATAAAACTGTTCATACTTTCAAAATCCTTTCATATATTAATTGTAAATTTAATATTGACGACACATTGAGGGTCTCCCACAATGAACTGTAGATTATAGCTACAAAAAGGATAGATACAATTATATTACATGTAATTATTTAGATGCATGAACATGTAAATCCTATTTATAAATTATATGCCTTATCCAAAATGTCATGGTTTCAGATGAAAATTTAGATGAGGAATTAAGCTCCAATGTTTTGTACTAGTTTTCAATGCCTAAATTATATTTTTTACTAGTTGTCAATGCCTAGATTAGATAACATAAATTCCATAAACAAAATATATATAAATACTAGAGGTACTGTGAGCGATGAGCTCACTAAATGATACCCCCCGCCTCCCATATGGTTTTAACTGGTGAAAAAGTCCATGTTTTCCTGTGGCCGGGAAACCCAAAATAAGTGTCGGATCAAAAAGTAAAATAGGAGGTGCACAATGGCAATATGTAATAAAGATTCTGTGAAAGTTTCATCAAATTTCATTCAGTGGTATGAGAGGAGTTGCGGATAAGAGATGCGTACCCCAAAGCGTAACAGACGGACGGACGGACGGACGTACAGACGGACGGAAATACCGATTACTATATACCCTCCCGCTTTTCAAGCGGGGGGTATAATAAATGCTTACCTGTTACAATCTGTGTATTGAGTATTGACACTGAAGTTCTGCATCCCTTTGGATTTTCTCAGCTTTTAGGAACACCGATGCCAACTGCAAGCAATTTCCACACTGTATGTACAAAAACCACCTAACCAGAGTTTCACTCACATTTAATTGCTCTCTTGCAAAAGAATCATGGTCCGAAGTGACAATTTGAACGCAATTTGAGGCAATGAACATCAAACTCGATGACCCTCCAAGTCATCTTACGAACTCTTAGTCTCTTACTGGTTAAAATTAGGGTTATACCATAAAAGCATTCCTCACAAATATGCATGGAATCCCAAATAAGTTTATTTCACAAGTACGATCTTCTAAAGCACCTCGGCGCGCGTCAAATTATGTCTTTTCTTGAACCGTTCCTTCCCTGTCCGACTTTTCATGGGCGCCACCATCTTGAATTTTATAGTCTCGGAGACATCGTTTTATTTTAAAAGATGTACATTTAAACGTATTTAAACAACAAATTTGTTATCATCTTGTTGTTTCCTTTAATTATCTATCAATTAAAATAAAAATATTCGAATTGTGGCTTTTGATATTGACTCGAACTGAAAAAGTATTTTATTCCGTAAACTACCGAGATCAATCCGAAGTTTACCGAAATTACAGCCTATTTCAACGACTAATAGATAACTTAACAACTTGAATTAAAAACTTCATTCAGCGACTAATTCTAGGTTTTTAAAAGATTCAATGACTAGCTAAATGTAAGTTCTTCATCTTTTTAAAATGCTTGTGCCATAGATTCAATGTTTAGTTCGTGATTAAAAGTATGTGTACAAGATTAAAATTTGGATCCGCCAATGAACTCTCAATCGCATCATCTCGGGTCTTTCTGTCAAATGTCTGAAAGCTAGTCGAAAAGGCCCGAGAAGTTGCAATTGGTGAAGCGGAGTCAGCCGAAGATTGCCGATTGAAACTCTCTAGAATTCTCGCGCATGCGTAGGCTGGCGTATGCCCAGGGCATCCTGTTTAGCCTCGCTTATATATTTACTGCGTGGACCTCACGGTCCACGCAAAAAATTAAATTGTCCGTTCATAATCTATTCACTACAGAGGCTGCCGAGACGTTCGTTATTGTAAAAATATAATAAATAATGTATAGAACACTGTGTTTCAAAAAATGGCTTTAAAATATAGACAAAGTTCTGGAGGATCTAACATTTATAAAACGCTTAGAAGATTAATCATGTATTTATAATGAATTGCATGCTGACTTTTAGTTTCTCTATACCCATTGAGAACAATCATTGTTCAATAAATGATTTCAAACAAAGGATATCATTATTTTGAATGACTTTGAAATCAATTTTTAGTGATTATAATTATACCATGTGAATTAACCTTTTGTGAAAGAGAAATACTTCCTGTTTTTTAACATCTATTAATATACATAATATTTAAACCATGCATGCAGAAGTGAGATTTAAAATACGAATTAAAAATCCTGTTGTACTATTAATGATCTTTACTTTAAATATTTTTTGATACTAATTAATCTTTACCACCTCGATGATTACGGTAATTAAGATATCGTAGAGATTTCACTACAAAAGTCAGGCGCGGATCAGGAATTGAAGTTAGAGGGGGCGCCAAAAGTAGACAAGGGGGCTGTGGGCCGCCTTGAGGCCCCCAGTGGGTCCAGGGCAAAGCCCTGGTGGGGGCCCAGGGGACGAAGCCCCCGGAGGCTCCTGGATTCTAGAGATTTTGTAGGTCTACCAAGTAGACATATTTACATTTTCTAGACGAAACTGTGATTTACGTTATCTTTGACAATTTTAAGGGGGGGGGGGTGCGTCCCCCTTAAATCCGCCACTGAATGTATACATTATTTAGATTTTTCGTTGATGTTCAATAGGGACAAATTTGAAATAAATAGATTTTTCCAAAATCATATTATTTTTAAAGCTCATGATTAGAACTTCAAATTTGTATTTAAATAACACCAGCTAGTATTAAAGTAAATTTTGATATGAAAACAACCTACATATGTATTAAGAAAATATAATGGGACAAGAAGGTTTATAAATGCTAAATGTATCATCGTAATAAATATTCGGTGATAGAAAATATTGCTCTTTCCTACTGCATGCCTGCTTTTCTAGCTGTTTGTTGTTAATTTCTTTGTCTGTTTTCTGCAAAAATTTTAACTTTCCAATAACTCTTTCGCTAGCTTTGATTTTCATATTCAATAGATCGATGCATTTCCTAATACAAGTCCTTTCCTAGAGTACACTGTATCAATAAATTTGACCTTATGATCTTTGAGTTTGAACAACTTAGCAATATTTAGTTAAATTTCATTCTTTCCCAAATTTCTTTTTTAAATGGTGCTATATGTAAGGCTTTCAGACTTCACATGTGCATTCCTTGTAATAATAGACTTCGTAAAGAACATTGTTCACAAGTTTTGACCTTGATCTATTTCCCTAAAATTTGACATTTGCAATAAATTTATAGTGGTTGGATCTTGGGCAATCGACTCAAACATTTACAAGTATATTTTTGACAAGACCTTTTATTTCTTTGATTCAAATAATTTTCCCCTTCGACATAGAATATTGAATTTGAGCCACTTTTGAAAAAAATAACGTTGAGCCTGTCATATATTACGAATGTTTTATGTACGACTTGTTTTGTATCTGATGACCGGAAGTCAGTTTTAATAAATATTCCGTGTTGTAACCAGTGTGTTTTATATGGTGTGAGAAGTGATCTAACAAAATCACCACCATCCACAGCCC